GAATGTTTTTTTATTTTTTTTTATATTAAAAAAATATAGCAACAAATATTGGTATTTCTTAAATCATCTCACTATTAAATATTCTTAAAAACTTTTCGGGATGCCGATCGTCATCAAAATAACAGATTTTGTGTAACACTTGACTTAATGACATTAAAAACATGATCTACTTTTTAAGAGATACAAATGCATCTCTTCAAGCAGTGATAAATATTATTCTGTATTTTCTGTGTGTAATTTGACATGTTTACAGTTATTTTTTTTTGCTACAAAATATCCCTGTCTTGTAAAATTTGTGTCACACAGAATTAATCTATTGGGTGCCATAATTTGTCAAATCAAAACTTGGGTTCAACCATTAAGTTGTTGTTTATATGTATTTTTCTAACAAATTTTCTATGATAAAAATTTATAAGTGAATGAACATAATTTCCTATTGACTGCAGGTCTTATATAAAAATTAAAGCAAATTATGTGACTTTTCACAGAATGAACCATCAATAATTTTGTTTTCATTTTTAAAAATAAATTTTGCTCAAAATATGTCACCAATGTCCATTTGGTACAAGACATTTATATCAAAACACATAAAAATATGTATAACCTTTTAGTTACAATCCTCACTATTGTTGCATGTCGCTCTAAAAATAAAACGATATATACTTATTTACATGTACAGTACGGACCTCTTCCATGCTTCCATTTCAGAAAAAAGTCATAATTTTGAGATGGGATACCGAGCATTTATGTACAATCTCTATGGTGATAATCTGTTATTCAGCGGACATGACGAAGCACATAGAATTCGTAGTGTGCTGCATCATTTATTTAGCGGTGAATCAGTACAGCAATGGGACAGTCTATTAGAAAAATTAATGAACAGAAATTTTGATAGATTAGACTCTGGGTGAGTGATTTGTCTTTGTTCTTATCTATGCCATATTCACTCTCAATATGCAGAATTAGTTAATAATTGATGAGTTTGAACGTCATGGAACGTTAGTGACGCATGACAGTCGAATTCTATTTCATATTTCCAGCTAACCTATTATTGGAAGCTGCTAGGATACTTATTAATATTTCATAAATTATCTTAGCAACATTGTTCAGTGTTTTTTTTGCTGAACATTTTTCATAAGATTGGCCTTCATTGGCTACCCAACTCCAACACCTTGCAATTTAGCCAATCAGAATAGGTGTTATTTTTTACCTTGTCCATAATGATAATGAAATGGTGAGGTATAAAGGCTAAAATTTTGATTTTGCCATATTCATTTTGTGGCCAGAATATGATTATTCTGCTTTGTTTTTGTCTTAAACTCTTGGTTTTTGTGGTTGTTAAAACTTAATTTTAGTGCAATCCTACAAATCTCTGCGTATCTGTATCCATATCTCTTGGCATGTATGGCTCAATCATGTTTCACACATACATCACACATTCTGTCACATGGGGAATTTCTGTATGCAAATGAGAGGCTAATTAGGAGCCTTGTTTTAAAATACACAAAAATAAGTTTAAAACACATTTTTTCACTTAAAAAAAATAATGTATGTTTAGAAACATAAAAATTAATAATATTAATTTCACAGGAACTTTAAATAGGCATGGTAATAATTGATATTTGTAAATATTTATCACTACTCATTGTATATTTTCAAATGTGTATTTTTTTAATAATATTAAAATATGTAAAACGCCTTTAAAATATATGTAGATATTAAAGTAAGAAAAATATAAATTATTATTATACATCTGTCATCGTAAAGCCATAAGTTACAGCATGTTGTAATTTTGCGATATATTGCACTGGGTATTATCATCCTACCACATTAGGAAACTCAAATTCCAAATATGGAAGGATTACGTGCATAAGCGTCCTCTAATAATAAAAAACAAACATGGCTGCCCCAGGGTTTGACCAGACCCCACACAAAGAAGTTCGCTAAATCCGTTCTAAACGTTTTGGATTTCGTCATTTCCATGATGTATTCCTTGGAGGAGAAATGTATAATGATACGGTTACTACAACGATACCATAAAGTATGTGCTCAGACAGTTTGTGGCCGCATCGACTTCCGCTGCATGTTGGTTGGTCCATATTCCTATTTACTGTCTTCATGCATACTTGATCAGTATCCTGGTAATAACCTCATATTACTTTTTCAACAGGTGTGCTTTGCCGATGTATAAAGTATTCAAACGTTTTTGTACTGAGTTATCAATCAGTATATTCCTGGATGTGGATATTGAATCGTCTCTTGAATTAGTACAGGAAACAACTGACCTAGCAACAACACACTGGCATGGTAAGTAAATCTACAACAACTGACTTGGCAACACTGGCATGGGTTGTTGTTTGGTTTCCATCTCACATGGAAAATGGCACACCAGAATATACACATTATAAATTGATAATTTTTAATCTTACAAAAGTTCCAAAAGTCAGTGTTAAAATTGAACTTTGAGAACATTCAAATAGCTTTATTGGGGTCTGTGTATCCACATGCTGTGGAACATTATTTAAAAGCATCAGAAAAGGAAATTGAAATGCAGAAACCAAATGGAAGCTGGAATGATTGCCAGCATCTTGTTTGGACATACAAATTTGAACAATTATTTTATATTGCCCACAAATCACACTATTAATTCAAACTATCAAATATGTAACGAATATGCATGTATCTCCGCCACCACATGATCTTATGCTTGTCATTGATTGGTTGATGCGTGGTACGGGTACTACTTTCAAAGATGCCCACCAAACAATGGTGTTCAATTTTCGAAACCAGTGAAAGCGTAAACGATGTTTGTAGATTGCAAAGTAAGAAACTAATTTTTTACAGTAGGACGAGTTGGCCTGTCAATACATGTACTACAAAATGCTTTTGTTTGTTTATATGAACAAAGTTTGAAACAAGGACTTATAATTTGGTCTCCGTCTGTCCGTCCGGAGTCATATTTCCTCTAAATTCAGGACCCTTGGACCAAATCTGTTAATTCTTTGCATGTGCCTAGTACTTTATCTGGGACATATGCACATGCAGTGGTTTACTGATTCAATCAAAGATGGTCGCCGAGCAGCAATTTTGTTTTTTGAAAATGTGGTATTTCATGCATGCTTTGTCAGTTTTTCTTCAAATTTTGTACTTACATTGTACATTTTAGATTCTATGTCCCAACAATTTGTTTTACAATAAGATCAAAGACGGCCGACTGGCGGCCATCTTGCTTTTTTACCATACTTCTACATGTATATTTCCAAGGCTTATGGACTTTTTCATTCATATTTGGCACATATATTTGGCACATACATATTCATGTCAGTTTGTTTCATAATCAAAGGTTGACTGACATTCATCTTGTTTTTTTTGAAAATGTATCTTGGACAATATTTGTCAGTTTTCATTCCAATTCAATACAAACATTATGCATGTTGAGATACATGACCATGATGATTAATATCATGTTTTTATTTTTGTAAATGATCCTAGACAAATGAAATTCAATTTGGATACAAAAAATGCATGAATATCATATCCTGTTTAATTTCTGACCCTTTATTACGATTTTGGAAGAGTCATTTATTTAATACATCTAATTTCTGTTGATACTAGACCAACCAATTATTCACTCAAAATTATTAACTATGCTTTTGGTCTATATTAATTTATTTTTGGCATGAATAACATTCCCCCTAATTCCAATGTCATTAAAAATGACTGGTCTTATTTTGTGTCAGTGAAAAAATCATTATCAGCTATCAAACACATATTTTAAAACTTGTTCACCAGTAGGAATAAATCAACACAAGATTCCTCTAATAACAAAACTACCCAAATGATACGCGTAGTAAAAGTCTTGTGGTGTTTTACCACAAAATGGTACAAAAAAGATACTTTTGGTGTTTTAGCTGCAAGGAACTCTGGGAAGGAGAATGATAATAACCCAAGACACCAATATTGCTTTATGAATTCTATACAGTAGTCAATGATTATTCACCACTACAAAATTTGTCCTGAATCCTGAAAATTGAATTTGTCTTGAAATTAAATTAAATATGATTTAGATATTTTTATTTTAAATACTTCCTGTTCTTCTACTACGCAGGAATCATCTCTGTGCCTTTCAGTTTAAAAGTACCGTATTGGTCGTCAGGGTTCAAGAAGGCAATAGAAGCCAAGGTATGTCCATCCTATGTGTATATTTTAATGTAGAAACCTTAGAAATTATTGGTAACATATGACACAGTCTTATTCATTGAAATACAGCACAAGTATAATTAATGCGTACATAAGTGTGATTGTCTATGTATTGGCAAAGGGTAGATACAATCAGTCCAGGTATATGGATGATAAGCTAGGCTCCAGAAAACAGAACCATCAAACCTATCTAAACCTGCCACCATCCAAGTAACTTGATTAAAACCATCTTTATAGATGGGTGGTTTTCATATGGAGGTTGAATTGTTTTGTTAAGGATTGCCAACTTATACATTTGACATAATATCTATCTATAAAATAAGGAGATGGTACTGTTGGAACAAAAACACATTTATTTGAGAGGATCATAGTCAAATAAGTTTGATTTGAGGAAATAGAAAATTCTTCCATTAACAGAATGCTAATTATTGTTTTGGTCTCTAAAAAAAAGGCAAATCTTCAAAAACATTCCAGAATGATTGGTCACATATAACAAGAGGTATTTATACATGGGTTGCTCATGCGTTATGCCTTGGGACTCCATAAATGTGGTCACTATATAGGCAGATGCTCTTTGTATAAGTGTGGTCACTAACTGGTTTTACTGTAATAATAATAATATCTTTATTGCATCCCTAGAAATAACATTTTCTATCAGTTAATAGCAATATGTTTATGAAATGAATAATAGTATAAGAGAGAAAGTCAGTATTTACTAATCAAGAGAATGCTCATTTCTTATTAAAATGAAAGAATTGTGAATAAAATCACCTAAGAGCTTAATTAATTGTATTTTTGTCAATACTTTTCATTAAATAAATAAATTTCTGCAGATTAGTTATGGTTTCTTTTGGGAATATGATATTTGAGAGTTTCTTTTTGGTGTGTTTGGTATGTACTGTAGAAGCAGTTCATCAAAATGATTAATGCACCCAATTATGCAGTAGGTCAAGTCCTCAGTTTTGGCCTGAAACGAATGAGTTTGTGATATATTTCTAGAAAATACAAATACAACAAATACAGAAAATTTCAGGATTATTTATTGTTTACAAACATAGCCAGTGGAGTCTGGGAACCAACATATGTGTTATTTTGATCTTAATTGTTATGTTCTTTCTTTGCAGAACTCTCTGTTTGAGATAATCTGTAAAAGACTAGTCCAGACTGTAGATGGGGACTTTTTACAACAGATTAAATCTGCTGGTTTTAAAGATATGACAGAAGCAGCACATCATGTCTTGCTCTTCATCTCTGCTTTAGTTCCCAAGGCGATGGCATCACTACTCACATCATTTACAATTTTAATGGCTGAAAAAGATTATGTGAGTATATCCCTTAGTAAAATAATGTGCCCCCCTCAACCTGCTAGCGACCCCTCAGCTCAGCTCAGCTTCATTTATTTAGCCATTGCCTCACAAATATACCTTGGCAGAATTTATACTATCAACCTTTATTATACATCTGTCACCGTAATGCAATAAGTTACAGCGTGCTGTAATTTTGCGGTTTTTTACAGGGTATTTACATCCTACCATATAAGAAAATGCGAATTCTGAATATGGAATGATTATGCGCATAAGTGTCCTCTAATAATAAAAACAAACATGGCTGCCATCATGGTTTGATCGGACTCCACACAAAGAAGTTCACTGATTCTGTTCTAAACATTTTGGATTTCGTCATTTCCATGATGTAACTCAGACAGTACGCCGCGCATCGACCTCCACTGCGCGTCGGTCGATACTCAAGCTGTACTGTCTTCGTACATACTTTGAGGTATTCTCGTAATAACATCATAGTATATGCACATTATTTTATAGATTACGCATTGTGAAAAAGCATGTCGAGATGAGCAATATTTGCAGTATGTTTTATTAGAAGTACAGAGACTATGGCCTCCTTTCCTTGGAGGTAGACGTCTTGCATCTCAGGTAGGACACTGCGCTTAATCATTAATTTTATATGAAGTAGATCATTCTCTACTTTCTGTGCTTGACTCAACTACACGGAGTCAAATAAGTGTGCTAACATACCACCCGCTGAGGCTGGCTTTTTCCTATTTATTTTGGCTATTCGTAGAGGCTTTCAGCAAATGATATTATCATGGAATTTTCTTGATTTTTTTTATAAAATTTATTTTTAGGACTGCGAAATTGGCGGCTTCAAGATTCCCAAAGGTTATGCTGCTGCATACATCACATACTCAGCTCAAAGAGATCCTAAAATATTCCCAGATCCAGACGAGTTTAGGCCAGAAAGATGGCGGACGTGGTGAGTTCAAGAATGTTCTTCAGAACATCTCCCAGGTCTTGGTTTGATATAAGAAGACAACATATTGGACAACCAATAGTGGGGGTTTCAGAAAAACCTCAGGTGTGAACTGTCGTATAAACGTAAAAGAGATTGAAGCTAGAACACTCCTTTTAGTTCCATACTTTAATATTCCCTCAGACAATATTATATATCACTAACATGTTTTTTTTTTTCTTTTTTTCAATTATATGTCACAGATGGTTTGACTGCAGTCTTGCCTTTCAACCATACTAATATATCTCTGTACATGAGCCTGGACAAATGAAATTCAGTTTGGATGCATGAATAGCATATCCTTGTTTAATTTCTTCAATATATTTTGATTTTGGAAGAGTCATTTATTACATCTAAATTCTGTGATACTAGACCAGCCAATTATTAGTCCCGTTCGAACGACTCC